GATCTGCACGCACACACACACATGCACACACACACACAGGTACCTGCACACACACACACACACAGTCACTCACACATGAACATAATCTGCACGCACACACACATGCACACACACACACAGGTACCTGCACACACACACACAGTCACTCACACATGAACATGATCTGCACGCACACACACAGGCATCTGCACACAAGCACATGTGTGCACATGCATCTGCACATACTTGCATGCATACACATGCACATACGCGCATCTGCCCACAAACACACATGTGCACACACATGCAACTGTGTGCAAATCCACCCCTGAAAAGAAAGAGTGGTGCTTGTGGTGGTGTATGCTTTTTCTGTGTGTGTGTGCATGCTTTACATCCCGGCATCACGAGGCAGAGGCAGGAGGATCTCTGTGAGTTCAAGGCCAGCCTGGTCTACCTAGCAAGCTCCCGAAGAACGGGACCACACAGACCCTGTCTCAGGAAAGGAAGAAAAAGGAGTTCCTGGAGAGGTGGCTCAGTGGCTAAGGGTGTTTGCTACTCTTGCAGAAGACCTGGATTTGGCTCCCCAGCACACACAGGGCAGCTCACAACCACCCGTAACTCCAGTTCCAGACGATCCAGTGCCCCGTCCTGGTCTCAGCAGGCGCCGGGCATGGATACGTGTTCATGCGTACATGCAGGCATCCGTGCCCACACATATAATGATAGGAGAAAGAAACAAACCTTAAACTAAACGAGAATGAGGATGAGACAGGGGAGACCAGGAAGAGGCCTCTGAAAACTGCCCCTCTGTCTGCAGGCCCAGCCTCCAGCCGGATTAACAGGTGAGCCGTCTCTGCCAAGGCTGGGCCATCTTCCCCTGCAGGTCAGGTACCCTCCTTCAAAGCATGGGTGGGGCTCACACACCTTGGCAGCTTCCTCTGAAGTCCCGGGCTGAGCTCCCCTTGCCTTCAGGTCTGCCCCATGTCAGCACCCCCTGAGGTCCTTGACTCTCCTCTCTTCTCTCTCTCCAGTTCAAGTTACAGAGCGCACCTTTCCTTATAAAATATTCTCTTCTCAAAAACAAAGAAAGGCCAAGGTGAGGCAGCCAGTGTGTGTGGCATGCATGCATCTGTGTGTGTGTGGCCCAGGGGCTGCCACTCCACTCCTTTCACTGTCTCCTCCTGCCCATGGACAGATGGTCAAGCACACCCTCAGGTCTCAGGCTGTCGGGGACTGTGTGCCTCTCATCTGGTCACAGCTGGAACCTCTTGAGGATCAGATGAAAGTTGCAGAAAAGAAGTAGGCAATGGGGGTTTGGGGCAGTTGTGTGCAGGACCCTGGGGCAGATATCACTAACGTCCCATCATCTTACTTCTGTAGGTCCTGCCTAGATCCCTGTGCTGACAGCTCCGACACAGTGATCCAGGTTTCTGGTATGGCCAATACCCACCCTCTGCCACCTGCGTGAACCTGCTTTTGAGTTTGAGCCCTTTCCCAGAGAGCTCAGACTTCTTTCTGCCCCGCAGACAAGGACAGCATCACCATCCGAACCATCTTCAGCATCATCTCTGGCACATTGCACCAGGAACACACCAGTTCAAAGGCCAGCTATTTGCTACGGGCTGGGGCCTAGATTCCAAGGTCCAGGGGAGGAGGCTGGGGATAGACTCCAGGGTCTGAGGGAGGAAGGCTGGGATGGGGGACCCTGGTCAGAAGGAGGAAGGCGGAAAGCCTTGTTATTTCCCTGACCCTGCTCACCTCATCCATCTACAGGCTGGATCTGATTCTGAGGATACCATGGGCCGGGGAGGTCTAATTGAGACACCCACACAGTGTATCTCTCACAAAAACGCTGATTTGCCTTTCATGGACTCCTGTGACATGGACACCTTCATGTGGTCCAGAGACGTGGAAGACCTCATAGACACCGAGTCCACCAGCCTGTCTTCCTCCTTGCACACGTGTACTTACCCTCCTGCCTTCCACGTGATTCCACCTGGCCCCTCCTGCCTAAAGGCCACTGACAAGGCCAAGCCCATAGGCTCAGCAAAATATCTGGGGACACTGTCCCGCAAGAAGGCTCCATCTGCCCCAGCCACAGCACGGAAAACACCATTCATTTTGGACAAGTCTACTAAGGTACAGGCTGAGCCTGCTCCAACTCAGAAGGTCCCAGATGCACTACGGTCAGCCCAGAAGTCTTCAGCCCCACCCTGCCTCTCCCATAAGGCTCCATCTTCTATTCCCCAGAAGGTCCCACCTGTTCCTGGACCCCCCCGGAAGGCCCCAGTTCTAATTGTCTCACCCAATAAAAATTTATCCCCAATTCAGAAGCTTCCACAAGCACCTGCAAGTTCCCAGAAAGCCATGTCCCCAAAGAAGGACTATCAATCACTAAATGCCCAATTTCAGAAGGCTCCAACTGCCCAGTTGCAGAACGTTCTCAACTCACAGGCCAAGGCCCCTGTGGATCCTACCATGCTACTGGTAGGAGACATGCTTCAAGAAAAGCCCAAAGGGAAACAGGAACCAGTGATGTTCGTGGAAGGGCAGAAGACAAAAGTGGTAGACATGAGGGCTCAGACCATGTTCTCGCATCTGTCCTCTACCACTAACAAAAAGAAATCCAAGGAAATCTTGATTAGCAAAATGCAGGAGGTCACTCTGGAGGCCTTGAAGGGCAGGGAGAAGTCGGAAGACAGGGCCCACAAGATGGAAGAGGAAACAGCTGTGAACTTGCCTGATCTGAAGCCCAAGGAGATAGAGATGCAGGAGAAATGGGTCTTGGCTGAGGAGGCAGGTCTTGAGGGCCCCCGCACAGAGGACAACAGGCCCTTCTCTGTGGAGGGGCTCACCCTTGCCAAGATGATGATCATAGCCAACTCCAAACACCAATACCTGAAGCCAGCTACTGCGTCTCTGCCCTCCTGGTTCTCTATGACTTCCAGAGGATCTGCCATGTCTGTGTTGGCCAATTTGCCCCTTAACATCAGCCAGATGCACTTGACAGAGGCTACACAAGTAGTGCTCAAGGAACAATCAGGGTCCAGTGCTAATGTGAAGGAGGAGAACACACAGCCCCAGATGAAGGGGAAGCCAGGTGAAGACTCGCTGAGGACTTCCAAGGAACCCACAACTGACTTGTGAACGACTTCCATGTCCGTCTTACGGAAGATACCTGAAATGTCTACGCTTCCCATTACCATGACTAGCCCAAGTTTGGAGGACAGGTCACAGCAATAACATCCTACACAACATTCTCCACCTCTGTGACAGAGACCTTAGACAAGGTGCCCCAAAGGCCTGGAGTAAAACACCACGAACTCAAGAAGGCACAAACACAGGAGCATTCTCTGGCTGTGAAAGGGTCAACCTTAGAAATTCTTTTTCCCACTGTCTTGGAAAAGGAGAATAAGAGGAAAACACCCAGGAAGGCTGAGGAGCTATAGAGAGAATGAAGAGCCTATCATACTCAGGTATTTGGAACTGGTGACTGGCATCCACTGTCAATCTAATACTCTCTCTCACCTCTCATTGTGTGTATGTAAAGGAGAGAACAGTAAAAGAGAGAAAGAAGAAAGGAGAGATTATGGAGGGAGGTGGGTGGGGGAGAGGTGAGAACGGGGAGCAGGTTCTTGGGATTGAACTCGGGGCATTCAGGACATTGTATATGCTAAGTGCAGACTTTAGCACAGACACAACCCAATACTGATGTCACTAGACATGGAATAATATGAAGTCTTAGTGGTGTAGCAGATATTACCCTAAATATTGAGGATTCAGAATCCAGAAGTGAGGGTGGCAGAAGGAGGATACACTGCCTGGCACCTAGAGGCCAGGGGTAGCCCATGTTGCCAAGCTTTCACAATGCAGAGGACAGACCCCAGCCTAGCACAGTGGCTTAAGATGGCCTCAGCCTCCGAGCTGGAGTCGTTAGTGTAAAGACATAAAAGAGGGGGCTAGAGATGTAGCACAGATGACAGGTGCTCAGCATGCACAAAGCCCTGCGTTTGAATTGCCTGACACTCAAGGAAACTAAGTGTAGTGGCATGTGCCTGTAATCCTGGCTATCATGAGGTTGAAAGCAGATGGATTGGGAGTTCAAGACCAGACTTGGCTATACATAATGAGTTAGAAGTTGGAGACCAGTCTGGGCTACATAAGACCTAATCTCAAAACAGAAAGACTTATTGGGAAGAAGAAAGGGGTCAGAGCATCTTGGGGAGAAGGGAGTTCCTGTAACAACAGTTCTCAATTTTTGTAATGCTGTGACCCTTTTAAAATATGGTGACCCCAACCATAAATTATTTTGTATTTCATAACTGTAATTTTGCTGTTATGAATCATAACATAAATATCTGATATGCAGCCCTTGGGGAGGGTTTCGACCCACAGATTGAGAAACACTGTTGTTGAAGGAACAGCCACTGTAAAGTGTCTGAGGCAGAGGCATGCATGCTCACTGTACCCTTACTGAGTGTACCTTACACAGAATCCTGATGTAGGAAATGCAGTCAAAGGAGCCCCTGGGTATGGGGATGTGTGAAAGAGCCCCTCACACAGGAACTGTAACAGACAAGTTTAAGGATGGTGCCTTTGGCTCTGAGAAAGCTGGAGGATTGGGGCCACTTCTGGAACTGGCTTATGTGGGAAGGGCTCTGTTTGTTGGAGTCAAGAACATAGAGGGAATGAAGATGGAATCTGGGAGTGCACCCAGGAGAGGATGGTGGCCTGGACAAGAGGGTGATAAGAAGCTTAGGATTCTGCAGACACTTTGAAGGGTAGAGCTACCTCATGGATAATGTGAGCAGCGCTTAAAGGGCCACATATTGCTGTTCTCCACACTGTGACAAAATACCAGACAAAAGGAGGAAATGGTGCATAGTTTGAGGGTGCAGGCTGTCCCGGTGGGGTAAAGTCTGCACACTTACTTCTTTGTGTGCCTGGGGTGATGGTGTGTGTGCTGGCCTGTGCATACATACATGGAAGGCACAGGTCAACTTCACATGTATTCCTCTATGACTTTCCCCTTTGTTTTTTGAGACAATTTCCCGCTGAGTTTAGAGCTTGCCGTTTGTGGATGGAGTGGGCTTGGCCAATGATCCTTGGACATCCACCTGCTTCCAAGCCCACTTGTGCTGGGATTACAGAAGTGTGCCACCATCCCTGGCTTTGACATAGGTTCTAGGGTTACAAAGTCATGTCCTCATGTTTTCACAACAGGCAGTTTACTCACTGAGTCATCTCCCCAGTCCCATTTTCTCATTTTTATTTAGCTGGCACCCCAGACTCCAGAATGGTGGCCCCATTTTGACACTAGGTCTTCCCACCCCAATTTATCCCACATGGATGTGCCCAGGAGTTCATTTCCTAGATGATGCTGGATCATGTCAAGCTGACAACGTTAACCATCCTGATGTTGAGCATGGCTGAGGTGTTTTTCAGTTTCAGAGACCCGTCGGACGCAAAGGCAGCAGGCAGCAGTGGGGCAAAACAGAGCAGAAAGGGCTCCGGGTGGTGGCCCCGAGATGAGTGGGAAGCTGTGTAACAGGTGATTGGATGTGTATGAGCCTGCAGTTCAGGCGGAATGACTTTGGCAGAGTTATCGGAACTGTGAGATGGGAGGAAGTTTTTCAGCGAGGAAGGGTGGAGATGAGACAAAGGGAATGGACACACAGCTCACATGGTAGAGCTCTTGCCTGGCTAGCATGCAGGTGGGAGCCCTGGATTTCATCCTGGCACCAACTAAAATTGGTTGTGCTGGTACACACCTCTGGTCCTAGCAGTTGGGAGGTGGAGGCATGAGGATCAGGAGTTCAGGGTCACCTTTGGCTATGTGTCAACATGAAGGCAAAAGTAGTTCTTTTTCACCAAGCCTGACAGCCTGAATCCCAGGCTTAGTTCCAAGACAGAACAAAGTCCCACAAATTGTCCTCTGATCTCTGCTTAGCATCTATGGTATGCCATCCTTCTCCCACTTTAACTCCAGTGCTTGGGAAGCAGAAGCAGGTGGCTCTCTAAGTTTAAGACCATCCTGATCCATATAGCCCTTTCCAAGCCAGCCAATTTCCAGGCCTTACCTCAAGGGAGGAAAAAGGAAAAACAAAAATAAAGTATTATATACCAAGTGAAAGAAACAGACTGCAGAAGCCAATCAAAATAAGGTATTTCTATGAAATGTTAATATATCCGTGGAGCCAGGAAGCAGATAGTGGTTTAAACGTAGTTGGAGATGGAGGAATGAGGAATGACTACTAATGTGTTATGTGTGTGGAAGGGTGTAGAGGTGTGATCAAAATTTCTTGGAACTAGAAAGGAATAATATACTGACTGCTTTTTAAGGCATAAATTACAGCTTTAGATACCTGTCTCCCTGCTAGCCCATTAAAACATTCTCTGCCTTTCTCTCCCAGCAGTAAGCAGCGACCCAAATATTCAAGAAAACATAATGCAGGAGACTCGATCTGTCAGCAAATTGTCCAGAAGCCCAGTGGGGCCAGGTACCCCTGAGACCCTGAAGACCTGGCCCTGGAGGAGTGGTCTCAGGAGCCAGCAATCATATTCTCTTTCCGCCTTTTCTCATAGGCTGACAGGGTGCTGCGCACCCCGACTGTAAGGCGCAGAGTGCTGAGAACACCGTGTGTGGTGGTGGGGGAGGGGGACATCTTCCCTCTCCCATAGAGACCAGAGCTAAATATACCTTTATATATTGGAGAGGGTGGGGCGGGGCAGATGTCACGGAGAAGCTTGCTACTCGGGGATTAAAAATCCTAGTCTGAGACTCAAGGCCTCGGTGACTGAACGCTCTCATGCACGGGTGGCCCAAAGGCACGGCCTGCAAGAAACAGGGGGAGGGGCCTCCAGTGACCCCACCTCCGCATTACAGACGGCTCCTATTGGCTGGGACTCTCTGGGGGCCAACCAATGCAGCCTGAGGGTCGTATTTTTCCACGCTCTCGGTATCAGCCTCAGCCGGCACTCTCAAGCTAAAGTCACCCGTGGACTCCGCAGCCCTGGTGTTCCAGCTAGGTTGGTCCTCTTTATTCTGGTGAGGACAGGGTGGGCGGGGTTTAGAATGGGTCAGGAGCTGGGAAGGTTGAAGCGAGGGGCTTGTCTTTAGGCCTCAAGGAGCACCACACCCCTTCCAGCAGGAATTGCCACCTAGATGTTTGATGTTGAAGCACAGAAGCCCCCTCCGGGCCAATGGGCAACGCCGCCCTTCGATCCGCGCTTCCCTAACCAGAACCAGACGCGTAACTGCTACCAGAATTTCCTGGGTGAGACCGGTTGGGCCAACTTAGAGGGGAGGCCCCACCTGGAGACCCTCAGAGAACCGTTGGAATGGAAGGCTGGGCCGTGGCCTGGAGGGGCGGGGCCTGCACCAAGCGGGTGGGATCAAGCCATGGAGGGGCGGGGCTTGGAGTGGAGGGAGGCAACTTGTCTGGAGGGAGTTAGAGTGCCTTGGAGTGAAATGAGCCAGGAGGGATGAAGCCTTGTCAGTAAAGGGCAAGACCAGGAGTGAGGGGAACGAGGTCAAGAGAAAAGGAGGAGTACCTGAGGTGAAGGGAGGAGCCTGATCTGTAGTCATCTGGAACTGAGTCCTGGAGGGGCAAGGTGATGCTGACTAGACCTCTCTAGGTGGTAGCTCAGTTAAGAAGGGAGTTTGGGGGCTCGGGTAGTCTATAGTAGAAAGGAGGAACCCTAATGGTTGGAACAGGTGCAGCTGAGTCCTGGAAGGACAAGGCAGGAATAGTAGGGTGGGACCAAGGTCTAGAGGAAAGGTGTGTTTACTGTTCCTGACTGGGCGTGGCTTGTCTCTGGACCCTACTCCCACCTTGAGGCGCTCTGCAGACTACCACAGGTGCATGAAGAACATGGTCCGCCGAGGGAAGAATACGCAGCCCTGCGAGTACTATTTCCGTGTATTCCATTCACTGTGTCCCATCAGTTGGGTGAGAAGGCGGAGAAGAGAGGCTGGCGGAGAGGGTGGTAGCCTCAGACTCAGGCTGAGCAAACACCAGGGGGTCCCCTCTGCCTCTCCAGGTACAGCGGTGGACCGAGCAGATCAAGCAGGGGACTTTCCCGGGCAAAATCTGACCATGAACTTGAGCTCTGCTCCCCTGGAGCCATCAGCCCCCAGTGGCCACTGTCCTCCCACCATGCCCTAGCCTGCGTTACTCACCTCCTCCACTCTGTCTCCACACCACGAATAAAGTTATGGTGCTGCTAATGTTTGTGTTTGTTTCTTGTTTTTTCTGTTTTGAGACAGGGTCTCTGGTGCTAAATCCTGGAACTCACTGAGGGACTAGACTAGCTGGGATCCTCCTGACTCCAGCTCCCCAGCACTGGGCTCACAGCCACGGGCCACCGCACTAGGCTTTTTACCTGCATGTGGGAATCCAGAGTCAGGTTGTAGTGCACACATGGCTAGTGCTTACTAGCTGAGCAGTAACACTGCTGCTTTTGAACATGAGGGAAAGAAGGATTGCTGCCTTAACTCAGACACAGTTCCCAGGTAGAAACAAGCTGAGAGCCTCTTGGGGTCTGCTCTAATCATGAAGTCAAGATTTGAGATAGCCCATGCCTTTAATCTGCACTCCAGAGGCAGAGGCATGTGAAGCTGTGAATTTGAAGCTAGCTTAGTCTACAGAGTTCAAGGCCAACCAAGGCTACACTGCACAGTGAAACGACAAAACAAAAGTGCTCCCCCACCTACAGGGTTCCAGGGTACCCTGTCTCAGTTGCCACACCTGCCTGCTACTGATCTTCAAACGTCCACACCTCAGCCTCCTCCCATCCTGCCCGGGCCATCTTGGCTACCATACCTCACCCATCCAGTCTCTGATCCTGAGGAACCTTCATCCTATGATCCAATGTTGATCCATTATTCTCTGAGCACCCGGCTCTGACACTTTATCAGCTTTCTACCATGCTGTACCTCTACTGGTCCCATTTTCCTCCAAAAACATCCTGTCCCCCACCATAAGAGGCTTCTTTTTCCAAAGAGGCCCCAGAGACTTGTCCATCCTTCAGCAGCCCCATAGCCCAGCACATCGTCTGATTTTTTTTTATTTTAAAAGATGTGTATGAATATTTGTGTATGTACATGTGCATGACTAAAATACTCAGGTGTGCACACATGTACAAACACACACACACAGACCTTTGAGTGCCTGGTACCCATGAAGGCCAGAAGGGAGCGTTGGATCTCTTGGAACGTAGAGCAGAAAATACTCTTAACTACTGAGCTATTTCTCCAGCACCCTGCCTCTGATTTTTTTTTAATGCAGGTCTACCCCTGTGCTCATATGGGGCCATCTGTCTCTCCACAGGTGACATTTCTTCCACTGACCCCTTCAGCACAGTCAGCACATCTAAATCATTCTTTGTTGTTTCCCATCTTTTCCAATCAGCAGCCAGCTATTCTGGTCCCAGATGCTCCTTGGTGTATCTTCCAAACATAAGGAGTGGCACCATTCTCCTTTTTATGGAGAATGTAGCCCTAGTTGGCCTTGAACCCACAGTGATCCACCCATGTCTGCCTCCTCTGCACTGGGATTGAAGGTGCACACCACTACCTCGACACACTAACTTCCTTCCCCTTTTAAAAATGTGTGAGTGGGTGGGTGCTGGTGGGAGGTGGCTATAAGAGAACATCAGATGCCTTTAGAGCTGGAGTTACTGGAGACTGAGCAACCTAATGCTGGTCCTCTGGAAGAACAGCTAGCACTCTTAACCACTGAGCCCTCTCTCCATCCTGAAGTCACCCTGTTTGTTTATCGTTCTGAGATAGCCTCATATAGCCACAAGGGCCTTAAACTCTTAATCCTCCTGCCTCTCTCTACTTCCCAAGTGTTGGGATTGCAGCATTAATAATCCATAACAGAGCCAGAGGCCTTTAGGTTGGTTGTGCTGGCACCTGCTGTTACCTACAGCTATCAGCCTCTTGACTAGACCTGAAGTAATCCTCAGACTCTGTCTTAAAAGGCCTCATGTGACTACATTTAACTCCCGGGCTCAAAAGATAATTTTGATGATGCAGGTCACTTTCCTGAGTGACCAACCTCAGTTTCTCCAGCTATAAGCCAAGATGGCTCAGAGTCTGGTTATCAGAAGCAGGAGTGGAGAGATGGCTGACCTCAAAGGACTGGCTGGTCCCACCCTTGATGACCTGTCTACCACCTGCCCCATATGGCCTGGGATGACTATATCTAGACCTTGGCCTCAGAGCTGTCTGACCACAACCTGAGAGGGAGGGGCAGGATGGAAGTATCAGTGAAGACAAGGCTTCAGGAAGGTACTGTTCAGCCACCATGCCCACAGGTGCTGCTGTTCATAGAGCAGCAGCTAACCAGAGGGCACTGTCATAGGAAGAGGCCAAATGCTGCCTGAGAACTTAATGATGTCACCCAGTTAAGTGTCAAAGCACAGATGTGTAGCCACCTTTTGCCCTGCCCAGAGATCTGGGTCTGGAGCCCATTTTCTCCCAATGTACAGCTTTCCTCTACCTCCCCTCCTTTTCAGATCTACAATCCTTCCTGCCATTGTCACTTAACTACTTCCTGTCTGTTTCCAAACCTTTTAAAGACCAGACTGGCTTCATACCCTCCACCCTTTTTCCATAGAAGCCTGAGTGCTCAGATTACAGCTGTGCTATCACCCTGGGCCTCACTCCAGGCCAACTTTGCCCTGTTTGAGCTATGTGATAAGCCAGGACACACCTTGCTTCTAGCCTGTGGACCATCCCATCACAAACTCTCAACAGCTCAGTAGGCTCCACCTACATCCATTAGGGTAAATTTCCCAGGATCCCAGGGCCACACCCTGTCTCTCAGCAGCCTCCCCTGTTCACAGGATGCAAGTCCAATCACTCTATTTTCCTCTAGCTATGTAGTTCTTTCCTCAGAAATCCATTTCTTCCTAGGAATACTCTAGGTTCATGTGCTTCCTGAGGTAAGAATGTCAAAATGGCTCTGCTGCTCTTCATAATTTGTTCTATGGATCAAGGCCCTACTTCACTTCCATTCACTGGCTCTTCCCACAGGGCCCCATGCTCCTGGAGTCATTAGATCAACCTCTAAGGTTCTCCAAGAGGAAAAACAGGGTTGGGACAGCCCCACAGAAGCAGCACCAGTTTCCATGCTTTATTTCTTGTTCCTTTTCTGGTATGGACAGTTAAATTCAGGGCTTGGTACATACAAAATAAGCCCTCTAATACTGAGATATACCCTCCAGTTTATTTCACCCCTAAAATACAATAGGAAGTTTGAAGCTAACTGGGCTACATGAGACTTCCTCTAACCCTCATCAGAGCTAGGTTTCAGGGCTCCATCTATGTCTCCTCCCCAGAACCTGTTCCTGTACAAGCCCCCCACCCCCACCCCCATGCACAGATCGATTTATTTATTTAGGTCAGTTTCATTATGTAGCCTTGGCTGGAACTCCCTGTGTAGACCAGGCTAGCCCCAAATTCACAGAGACCTGTCTGCCTCTGCCTCTTGAGTGCTGGGATTAAAGGGGTGCCACCACACCAGGCCCTGCTCTAGATGTCTGGGTACCTGGTTGAAAAGTGAAAGGAGCAAGTCACTCTGCTTCCTTGCAGTCAGTTATTGGTTATCTCCTCACTTTCCCCTAGAGAATGCATTTGGCCATCTCCTATAAGCAGTATACAGCAGCTCCCAGAACCCATTGCTCTCTCCTTTTTTAAGGCTTATTAGGGTAGCTGCCAGTCTCCAAGGCAGACAGCTCATCTTCCCAGCAAGGCTGAGCTCTCACCCTCCAACTTGACATCCCCTACAAACATAAAAAGTGCTAAGGGCTTATAAGACTTTAATAAAAAGTTCAAGTTCTTCCAATCCTCCATCATACCCCATTCTGGTGTGGGGAGGAGAGGGAGCCTCCCCTTCACCCCACTAGCACCAGGGATAGCACCGTGAGAAAGATGAGGTCACACCTGGCCTCCCTGAGACCCACGGGGCAGGGACAAGGATGTGCCCCGGGTATCACCCACCCCATCTGACTGCCCCTACCTCTAACAACTGCAGAGCTGAGAGCCAACCCACTCCCCATTGTGGGAGCAGCTCTGGGAAGGCAATCCCCGCAAGTCAATTCCACCTTCTGAGGCCTGAGCTTCTAGAGAGTTGCCATGGAGTGGCCCCTACCCCCTTATGGCTTTGCTCCCTGGGGAGGAAGAGGCTGAGGGGAAGGGGATGGCTCCTACAGTCCTGAGGTGGAGGCAGGGATGGGGAGGGGGACATCAAATGGCCAGGGCTCCCTGCTGGAGTGGGGTTGGCTCAGGGGTCAGCGCTCATAAAACAAGGATCAACTCTCTAGGGATGTCCTAAGCAACACTCCCAGGATCAGACCTGGGTCAAGGGTCAAATCCCTCTTTCCTGTCTGGAGGGGTCCAGGCAGAGACTCTGCAGTCCAATGTGGGCTCCCTGCAAGCAGCCCATCATGGCTCACCACTATTGATGTCCAGATCAATGGAACCATGACTGACCACTAGCCGGAGGCGCTTAGGTGGGCAGAAGGGAGCGAAGGCAAGGGCCTGCTTAGGGATAAGGTCGGGGGTGGGGACAGGGCTTGGGCTCCCAGCAGGGGCAGGAGCAGCTGGTAGGGCAGGGGCTAGGCGGGTAAGTTTCACACGCACCACAGAAGGTAGCCCATAGCGCCGGGCCCAGTACCAGTCCTGTTGTGGGGTCCAGCGGGTCTGGGGGAGCTGGTGTAGGGTCACCACGGCCTCTGCCTGTAGTTGGCAGTGGGGACCACAGCCTCCCCATCGGTGTAGGGAGACACTGGCAGTGTGGAAGACAGGGGTCAATGAAGCCTGACGGATCCTAGGGCGGCGGCGCTTCCGGGGACGTACTCTGGGCTGGGGCGGGGACATCCACTGGAGCCAGAGGGGCAAGTAGTCCAAGTGGGGGCTGGCAGGCAGCAGGCATGGGGGCTGGCAGGCAGCTGTGAAGGTCAGGGAAGAGAGAGAGAGAGAGAGAGAGAGAGAGAGAGAGAGAGAGAGAAAGGGGAGCTGGTCAACAGGACCTGTGCAGTTCCTCCTGCGGACAGTTCAGAAGAGAAGTGACAAAGGCCAGAGAACAGGGTGCTCACCACAGAATGGGTCACGGCGCAGTGGGGACTGGTGGGAGCAGGCCCACAGGCTCATCAAGCTCTGCTGGCTGCTGTCCTGGCCCTGCTGCAGACGCCGCTTTGTCTCTCGGAGATCATACTTGTCCAGGGCCTGTGGCTGCAGCTTGTCTGGCTCGTCTGGCTCCCTGGGCTGCAGTCTGAAAGCCCCCTCACCATTCCTGCAGGAACAGAAAAGGGCAAAGGAAGATGCTGGGCTGGACATGTTTTAGAGTGAATCCCGAGGGTGCATCCCAAGCCAGGGAGCTCCCAAGGCAGGCTGGCACGCTCCACCCACCCTCAGCCATGCCTACCTCTCGCAGGTGTGGCATTCACAGTGTTCATTCTTCTCACCAAAGAAGCCCTCGCCATAAAAGCATGTGACTTCGTCCCCTGGCTCAATATCTCGTAGCACCTTCACACAGGCAGTATTCCCATCTGAGGGCACAAACTGAGGCGATGGCCACTCAGCACTCTAGCCTGGAGCTGTCCAGCTCCTCAACCTGGCCAGGCACCCTGGTCCAAGGGTTCCATAATGGGTTGGGCCACAACTAAGGAACCTCACCCTGACCCCACCATTTATTAGTAGCTATCTTGATGGGAGCCTGTCCCCCACACAGCTCCTTAAAAGCCCATCTTCTGTGTTTATCCCTCCCTGCAAGCCAGTGAGCTAACCTGACCTCCCAGCAACTTGTACTCCTCCTCTGACTTGTGGACAAGTGTCAAGCTCCACCCCTGAGACCTACCCACTCTCACATAGTCCCTCAAGAGCCACTCACTCCTCCCTACTCTGCTTCTCTGGCTAGGTCCCATCCTCCCAGGGCTTGTGTCCACTCAGCAGCCCAATTCCCATGTCCTCCAGCCCTACCTTTGAGATCACTCACTTCAAGGCTACCCTACAGACTCCTCATTCTAATCTCCCTCCCACATCTGTGTCTGCCTCTGTACTCCCTATCTGGAAGGGAACATGGTCACCATCTAGCTATCTAGCCAGCCAGCTAGCCACTCAAACTTGACACCCAAAAGTGGCCACCTATATTCTTGCCTTCCCCTTGTCCCTCTACCTCGACTTGTTCCTTCATCACCTCATGGTCCATCACCTGTTAATCTCCTTGAGGACACCCATACTCTATATACTTCTTCCCTTCCTACTAAGCCTCCTGTACACCACTGCCTTAGCCACCTAGAAACCAAACCTCCATTTATGCAGCTAGAAAGAGAGTCACCTAAGCTTACTAGTCTGGTTGCCACCATCTTTGGGCAGGAGATGCCTCTTTACAGTCCCAGACTTATGACGTGAAATTTCTTGCTCTCTTGTGCCCCTGACTTCCTTCAACACTCAGGAGCTCTGGTCTTCCAGAGCCTACTGATTCCAGATCACTATATTCACTTAGTGAGCAGGTAACCGCATGTTTGCCCTTTGCTTTCTGTCTCATCCAGTATCTTCGTGCAGAGCAGGAGTCCTAGTGGGGGCTGCGTGTCACTCATCCTGAGAGCCTCTGACACAGGAAACAAATCTGTGTAGTCCCAGATGTTCACTACCCAACTCCAACAACAGTCTTAGGGGCACTGACAGGAAAAACCTAAGGCCAGGCAATACAGCTAACTTTCTAGTTCTGAGTCAGGAAGCTGAGCTTTGGCCTTCACTCATGCCTTGGGGGCTCCCGCAGGGGGTTAGAGATCTGTGTCCTGACAGGGCATAAATGGGGGGCTTCCCAGGGACTCCCCTTACCTTCTATTATTATTATTATTATTATTATTAGTATTATTATTATTATTTTTACTTGGTTTCTTTTATTTTATGGTCATAGGTGTTTTGTCTGTGTGAGGGTGTCAGAAGCCCTGGAACTAGAGCTACAGACAAGTGTGACGGGCCATCTGGGTGCTGGGAATTGAACCCAGGTCCTCTTAAGCACTAAGGCATCTCTTGATCCCTTCTTTTTTAGTTTTTTTGGAGACAGGATCTTGTTACTATATAGTCCTGGGTGACCTGGAGTTCACTATGTAGACCAAACTGGCCTCTCTAACTTGCAGCAATCCTCCTGCCTCTGTCTCCAAAATACTGATTTCACACGTACAAGCAGTGCTTAACTAAAACTATTTCTGCTCCTGTTGGTCCTATGGATTGATCTCAGACCTCTCCTGTGTTAGGCAAGAGCTCTACCACTGAGCTACATCCCCATCTTTGTCTGTTCTGGTCTGTGGTAGATAGAGTATGGGTCTTGCACACACTAAACAAGCTATATCCCTAGCCCTTTTGAAATAGTTTCACTCAAGTTCCCCAGATTAGCCTAGACCTTTGAACATTTCCACCTCAGTCTCCCAAGATGCTCAGATGACAGGACAATATCAACACACCCCACTAGACCTCCCAAACCCTTTGCAATATGTTCAGGCCAGTTACCTCCTCACTCTTTTACTCTGCCCTTCTACCCAGTTTTTGGGTTTTTTTTTTAGCAGAGGTCTTTGCCCTCCTGGATTTTCTTGGCTTCTCCCCTGCTCCTGCCATCAAAGCTGTCTAGGTGAGCTCAGCCATTTGCTAATCTGTCTCCCCATCACACCTTAGGTTCCATTTTAGTCAGGCTCTGGCACAAGTGTGCAAACACACTGATGCCCCTCTTCCAGCTCTGACATCCTTGAGGACACATGCCTTCTTTTCTATGCTGCCAACTCTAGGTGCTGCTACCAACTACAAGGGACTGTCAAGGATAGAAAACCACTTTCTCAGGTGGAATAGTTCAAAACCATCCCTCGCTGCACTTCATCTCCCACATGCCCCACCCCTTTCACACACTGCAGATCTTACCTTGCAGTTGGGTTTGCAGTCTGCCACCATTGGGTGAGCAAGAGAGAAAAGGGAGAAGAGTGAGCAAGTGAAGGCAACCCTTTCCCCTCATCTCATGCATCGTCCCCCAGCATCCTCTCCCTAGCCTTGCCCTCACCATGGTTGATGAAAGCAGCCGGACCAAGCCACAACTGGGCACTCCTTTTGCGTGTGGAATACATGATGCTGAAGTCATTCTCCCCAGCCCTAAGCAGATACTCGTCTTCTTCACGCAGGTCTGCAATGCAGCCCACCAGCATCTCCAGTTTCTCATTCTTCTTCCTGCCAAGAGGCTAGGCTATAGGGCTGTGAGCAATACCTACCAATCCTTGCTGGGGATTAGGGCCTCTTGTGCAGAAATACCCAGGGAGCAGGAGCTCCAAGGGACAGGGCCAACAATTTCATCCTCCATTCTCTCACATTCACCAGGTCCTCCTGTCTTTGCTAGCCCCACGTCTGCTGGATCCTACCTCATCCACAGGGATTTGGATCTCTGCTCCTAGCCACCTCCTTACCAAGCACGTGTAGACACAATCTTGGCCCCATTGGTCTCCATGGAGTAGCGTGTACAGGGTAGAATGGTGAAGCCACTCTCAGGCAGGAAGGCGCGGAGGTAGCAAAAAATCTGAGAGAAGAGTAGGGGAGGGCAGGAAGGTGAGCAGGGCTAAGCATGGGGTCTCTTTCTTTTGGACCAGGTCTACTTGACTGTGTGGCCTGGGTCCTTTCTGGGTCTAGGCATCCTCATCTGTCAAAGGAAGAGGAAGCTACACTCATCTCAGAGCTCACCCACCCCCAATTCTGAGGAAGCTGAGCCTTGCAGAGGAAAAGCAGTCTTGGACCTGAGGGCTGTTCTCCTGAGAGTGCTAGAATCTTCCAGCTAAATGGAGAGAGTACGGTGCAGGGCAGGGCAGGGCAGGGCATAGGCTCCCTCACATGGGTCTTGAGGGCAGCTTCCTGCCGAGGGGCCCGGGTCTGGAAGTAGTGGGCCATCCAGCCTCCCAGTGTCAGGGCCCGGTATGCAGCCTCCAGGTCCCGTTGCCTTAGGAAAGCTTCCAGTGCTGAGCGAAGGTAGTGTTGTCGTCGAAGGGTGGGCACAGGGCTAGGAAAAAGGGCATGCCTGGGTTCCAGAGACTTCCAGGACCCCGACCCTCACCCGAAGCTTCAGGGAGGCCAAGCTGAGAGTTGTAAAAATATAAAAGAAAGGGTACAGGACCCATTCCTGCTATTACCCTCAGGATCCCCCTCACCTGACATTCATCTTATGGGTTCGGAAGCCGAGGTAGGGGTCAAGAACAAGGCTGGTAGCCAGGTCATCATTCTCGCACAGTTCTCGGGCTGTCACTCTGTCAGGGCCCATGCTGCTCTGAAGACCATGCTGCTTCTGGCACAGAACAGGGCATAGGGATGTGCCACTCAGAAGCCGAGCAGGATGTCTGTAGGAGAGCATGGAAGAAAAGCAATACTAACTTCACAGGGCTGTATGGAAGAATGACACCCAACAGGTACTTTCAATAGTGACGAAACCCTATGAGAAACCAGTCTCTGGTGCATTAAGCACAGCCCCCCCCCCCCAGTCACATACACAACCTCCATATACATTTTCATGGATGTTGACACACATCCATCACCTTGCCAAGTGCACGTTTAGGAGACAAGTCCCTGTGCACCCATTGGAAAGGCAGAATAATTGGCAATCTGTGAGAATTCCAGAGGCTTAGCATTGCAGGGGAGAGCTAGGACAGCTGAGCATCATCAAGGGGCAGGAGGGGAATGAATTCAATGTTTCTGAGCTTCTAGCCTGCCTCTGCTAACCCTTGCTAAGCTGGGTCTGTCTTCACCACCTCCATCCAAGGTCACTTTCCTGAGAAGTGGTCAAAAGGTTGTGGGTGGAATCCAGGCAGCCATGAGGTAAAGCAGGATCCATGACCTATTCCCCCACCAGAGGATTCCAGCAAAGGGGAGGCCCTCAAGAGAACAAAAATCAGGGACAGAATGAAAAAAAAAAAAAAAGAACAAATCAAAACAAAAGGGAAGGAGGTGAAGTGGGGGGGGCAGATCAAATAAAATGGAGGCACAGGTTACCTTGTACCCTCACCATGGGGTGTCTGGCAGATCTAGGTTTGGGAGAGAGCTATAGTGGAACAAGGAAGGAGGGAGGGTGGCCAGACACGTGAGGAGAAGCTACAAGAACTGGGAGAAAGAGCTGAAAAACGAAACAAAACAATAAAAGTCTGCCTTAAATGAAGAGGGTGCTAAGAAAAAGCCTGGAAGATGAGGAGGAGCCTATGGGAAAAGACAAATAAAGCCAGGTACTAAGAGTATGGCTTGAAGGGACAGAAAGGCTACAAACATGGAGGGAAGTCAGGAAGGACTTAGTAGGGAGTTGGGGGACGAGGGGAAGGAGGCAAAGGGTGGATAGGTGGATAGGCCTGGGGTCCAAGGAAGGGCCTAGCGGTCCTAAGTAGGGTTTGGGGGAAGTCCTGGGGGATTTGAAGTGATGAGAACCTCAAAGACCCTAGGGGTTCCAGAAGAGAACTGAGGAAGGTAAGCAAGTAAGAAAAGCCTGGGATGGTTGCAGAAGGGGGCTGGGGAAGCAGTGAGAGTCAGAGGAAGGGACTCTCGGAGGCCAGGACAGTGAGACAGGATCAGGAAGTGCCCTGAGCATGACTGGGGAGGTTACGGTGCGGAAGAGGTGTGGGGACATGCCCTGGCGGGGCAGGGAGCGGGCCCTAAGGTGCAAGCAAAGACCTGAGAGTAAGAGAAGTCTGCTTGGGCTCCGAGGGTGTGGGCAGGCTAAGAGTGCGGAGCGCGAGACCCGCGGGGCTGGTGACTTGGGCGGCAAGGCTCGAGGAAGGGCCCGGGGACAGCCCGGTCAGGGGGTGACTGGGAGGCCGGGCGGCACGGGGCGGGGGCCAAGAGGGGGCTCAGAGGTCGGGCCCCGCGCCGCCCCTCACCCGCTTCTCCGCCTCCTCCTCCTTCTCCTCAGGCGCCCGCGTTGCAGCCGCCACCTCCTCCCACCGCCTCCTCCGGCTCCCGTCAGACTCGGCCGCCGCGCCTCCCCTCAGCCGGCTTGACGGACGACTCAACCTCCTATTGGCCCAGCTCGCCGTCACTCCTCTGTTGCTATGAAACCCGTGCTGCTCTTATTGGCTGACTATCATTACTCTCTTTTTTCCGTTTCTCGTGGCCTCATCTGTGCCCTGACAAAACCCCGCCACGCCCACGCTGTCAATAAATCTAACAAACTACAGCTAATGGCTCACGTAGCTGTCATTCAGCTGTTGCCATCACGATGTGTCCCGCCCCTCCCCCTGCCCTGCCCCAAATCAATGCTTTCATTGGCTCAAAGCGCCGTCGCTCAGAGCGAAACTCTGTCTGGGTCAGGTTATTCAGGTCCAAATGAAAAGGGGGCGGGCTTTGCCAGATCCAAACTTTGTATATTATTGGTTGAGTTTGTGCAAGCCCAGCTTCCATTGGCTAAGGCCTCCGCCCATCACCCTAGAGTCCGAAGTCCTATTCTCTTTCTTTCAGCATCCGGAGGGCAAAATCAGAGCGAACCAGGAAGGAAAGAGGTGAATCCTTGCTCGTTCCTGCTGCCCATGGCCCTAGGAGACCATTAGTTGCCATGGCAACAAAACTTCGTTGCCAGCCCTGCTTGGCAAGAAGACTTCCTTTTCTCTCTCCCAATATTCTTTATCGTTTGGAAATTGTACCTGCAAGAACCCTGTGAAGTTCTCTTGCCCTGCCTATGAACAGGTCGGAAAAGAGGCTAACTGAGAAGTTGGGACTTTGGAGACAAGCTCTGACTCATAGGGCACTCCCATGGAGGAAACCCCTGTAATTAGGATCACCCCCTCTTCAATCCTGCAAATATAATTAGCAGTGTATCATAATTACGTCCAAACAAATAAGCTCCATGCTTGGAGCAAACAGTCTTTGTTTTTTTGTTCTTCATGAGTTATCTATTTGGTGGGTTAGAACAATGCCTACCACACCAGAATATTTTGTTAATTCAATACAACGGATTGAATTGAGCATGGCCCAAAGGGTAAAGACGTCTGCCCCCAAGCCTAACCGGATCCGCACGATGGAAAGAAAGCACAGACTCCTGCAGGTTGTACTCTGTCGTCCACATGCATTCGAAGGCCAGGGCATCCCCACACATGCACATACACACAAAATCAATTAATTAAAATAGAATAGCTTCTTTTTTGAGGGAGTATGCTGCTCTGACTGTCCTGGAACTCACTATGTAAACCAGGCTGGCCTTGAACTTAACAGAGATCCTCCTGCCCCTGCTTCCAGAGTTCTGAAATTAAAAATGTACGCCACTATGCCTGGCATTTTGTAGTTTTGTTGTTGCTTTGGGTTTTGTTTTGGTTTCCCTTTTTCTTTTCTTTCTTTTGTTTTGTTTCGTTTTTCAGTACAGGGTTTCTCTGTGTAGCCTTGGCTGTCCTGGACTTGTTTTTGTAGACCAGGCTGGCCTGGAACGCACAGAGATCCACTTGCCTCTGCCTCCATGAGTGCAGGCACACCACCACGCCTGGCTGGTTTTTGGTTTTTCAAGGGTCTCTCTGTGTAGCTCTGCTGTCCGGGAACTCACTCTGTAGACCAGGCTGGCCTCAGACTCTCCTGTCTTTGCCTCCTGAGTGCTAAGGCATGTGCCACCACCAAACAGCCTAACATTTTGTTTTTAATGACTATTATTTAACTTTTATTTTATATGCATTGGTGTGAGGTGTCAGATCCCTGGAACTGGAGTTACAAACAGTTGTGAGCTGCCATGTGGGTACTGGGAATTGAAATCAGGACCTCTGGAAGAGTAGCCAGTGCTCTTAATCACTAAGCCATCTCTCCAGCCCCAACATTCTGTTTTTAATGAGGCTGAAGTTTTGCACTGTTCTGTGACCTTGGGGAAGTGTTTTGCCACCTCTCAGCTTCATGGTTCTATCTATAAAGCAAACATCACACATACTGGTACACTTTTAAGCTTCTGAGGTCCAAGCTTCACCACTGTTATCCCTCCTGAGTTCTAAGACACCTTGTAGGTGTTGTTTTTAAACTCTACTTTATTTGGGATTCCTAAAACCTCTACTTTCTTTCCAATTTCGCAACTTGAGGTAGGAGAGAAAGAAGGTTAGAAGGGAAAGCAGGCATAGACCTCTTTGCTTCTTCTGGCTCGATCCATAGGGTCATCAGGTTCTTTTAGGGCCAATACCAATCTCAGTCGTCAGGATATCCTGCAGTCCAGGTAACCAGCAAATGCAGCAAGCAGTCACCTTCTTTCTTTGGAGCATTACACCAAATTGTTCTCTCTCCTCCAAGTCTGTCTCCTCTAAGCTGCCTGGCGTTCTCACTCTAGGCTCTCAGATTTATACCCCTTATAGTCCCCAGAATTTAACTAACTCCAGCTGGCAAAGACCATGCCTCTACAGGAGGCAATTATCAGCTGTGGACAAACTAAAGGACAAACTAAAATCCCACACTTGGGATTAAAGCAAAAAGATGTGTACATAACATAACTGAGTTTTTAAAGAAACCAAAACTTCCATTATACCTCCCTAACCTAAGCTTCACTCTGGATAAACGTTATGGGTTCAGAAATAGTTGAATACTGACCACTCAGACACTCAGACTGATGCAAGTTTATTAAATGCTGAACAAAAACTGACCTGTCAGGGCCATAATCTAGACTCAGGAGCCAGACAAACTATGACATTGGTCTGCTCCTAAGGCAGGTTTTTTATACAACAAACAAATAAACAAACAAAAATGTAACCAGGTGACAAAACTGTAAACAAGTGCAGGAAACAAACTGCAGCTAGGTAACAACCAGGTAATAAAATCGCAACCAAGTCTCCAGGTATAGAAAGCAACATTACATCATTTTGACTAGCTAGACAAGGAGTTTCTAACTGACCTTTAATTTAATTGGTTCTGCAGTTGGGGGACTTCATAGAGTGTCCAGGTAACAAACTGTACAAAACTTGAGAAGTGAAACCATAATAATTGGAAGGCAGAGCATAATAACTTGAATTTAATTCCACCTTATAATCAAAATGGAGAATTGGAGACAAAATGGCTTCTGATATGTTAAAGGCTACAGCAGGTATTAACAGAGGAGCCACAGTAACACTAAGAACTAAATTAGAACTCAGTGGAAGTGCTATAGAGTTTTAGCAGGTTACAATAACAAAGATGACTGCACCTTCCTTGGGACCCATCACATGAACACATCTAGAACCGACAGAGGGGAGTCAGGCCGAGGTATTGCACTATAGCAGCCCCTGAACAGGGTGAGCCCTGCTGTGACTTCTCTGGTTATCAGCCTAGGAGAGATTGACAGCAAGAGCCAGGTATGATGGTATATCCCACAATGGTAGCATTTGGGTGGACCAGGAGTTCAAAGTCACAGACTGGGCTACAAAAGACCCTGTCTCAAAAATTAATTAATAAAAAAAAATTTAAAACAAATGGCTAATAGTGGGGTGTTGTGGCACATGCCTTTAATTCTAGCACTCAGGAGTCAAAAACAAGCCTATTTCTGAGTTTGAGGCCAGCCTGGTCTACAGAGTAAGGAATTCCAGGACAGCCAGCGCTACACAGAAGGCCTGTAGCACAGCCTGTTGGGGGATGGTCTTGTGCACTGTGCACTCAGATGCTGATCTCTGTGCGCAGAGATCTGGCTCCAGCCAGAACACGGGCATTGTCATTTCTATGAAGAATCTTCTGTTTCAGTGTTGTGTAAAAATTGTTCTCCATTATCTCTGATTGGCTAATAAAGAGCTGATCAGCCCATAGATGGGCAGAGAGGACAGGAGGTTCGACTTCCGATCCCAGTCAGGATGTCTCAGGGAGGGACTACAGAGAGAACAGAGAGAGAGGAGGAGATCGTCATGAGAGCAAAGAGAAGGAGCAGAGTCAGCCAAGGGGAGACCAAGACGGTAGGCAGCATGGGGCACTGCCTCAGAAGTGGTCAGGCTAGTATAGAC